TCTTCGTCAATCGCGCGCACCCAATAAGTTTTCATATTTCATTTCCATACTTTTAAATTTCTAAAGGCTGGTTTTCTCTAACACGGAGTCAAGAGTTGCGAAAAATGAGATTTAGGGCGTGATTACATGAGCCGAGCTGGCCCGGTTAGCCGTGCTGATTTCTTTTGTTTTCACGCTTTGGCGAACACCAAAACAAAAGAAATCAGCCCGGCTAACAGGGCCAGCCCGGCTAATAGGGCAAGCCCGGCTAACAGGGCCAGCCCGGCTAACAAGACCAGCCCTGCTCATGTAATCAGGCCCTTATAGTCACATGCCGAGTTTTGAGGCTTGATAGAATTCGAGTCGAAAGATTCAGAGCAGTTTCAGTCTCTTTCAGTGTAAACTAGATTGTTGTACTCGCAACAGAAGCGGAATAACCAACAAATCACAATGCAAGTTCTCAGGTCAACTGATCCTTACAACACCAGAAATTCAGTTCACACAGATTCACAATCGGCCTCTGTACTCGGCTTCTCATTAATTTTCACCGGATCGAAAGTCTATGCGCCTCATATTACGCCTGCGACTTCGGTCACGATCGACGTGAAAATCAGCCTTAAATATATATACCATTAAATAAATAAGTGAAAAAGGGGGTAAGTGTTTAAAGAGACTCTGGTGCTACGTCCTTGGGGATATTACAAGATAATTTGGTTTTATTGAGGTTGATATTGTAAATTGGCCACTTTAGAGAGTTTGCTTAGGCTGACGTTTCGAGCGTTAACTCCTCGAATGAGTGAATAGAAACTATCGAAATAGTTTATCGACCAATTAAAGTTGAAATTGCCATCATGCGAAATCTGTGGTCTGTGGCTCCGTAATTAACAACTCCGCGTCTTTCATAGGAATATAATTCACTTTAATCCTGATTAGCTGACGTTGGTTGAAACTAAAGAAAATAACAAGGGTTATAATAGTTACACAATATATAAATTCAAGAAATAACGAACAACACGACGAAAAAGAGGAGTATAAACAACTTACATTGTTACGACACAGAAACATTACTAAACTGCGCTCAACGAAAACGAGAAAACAGTTACTGATTCCATTGTATTAGTTATGCAGGCAGCACAAAGCGACAACGAAGTGGCAAAGAAATGACAAAGAAAAGCGCTTATGAAACTATCAAATAATACAATTACAGTGAGAGTGAAAAGACATAAATAAATGAACTCCAAACACGCAAAAAGGAAAAGAAAAACCAACAAGAAAAACATGTCGCACTTAGAACTTACAAAAGTAAACTGAATTGTGTATTTACCGACTTGCTTGTAGTTGAAACTAAATCCTTTCCTATTGGTAGCTCCATCACTAATGAATCGAATTCGTACGACATTTCCAGATGAGGTAAACGGCGGTGGTTTGTAGGTAGTTCCGTCAAATGTGATAATCGGCCTGTCATAGCGACTTGTATCGTAGATCAGCAAGAAATCTTTACCAGTCTCCGTCTTAAATTCAGTGAAGTCGAGTCTGATTTTCTTGTTCACTGGAACTTGAATCTGCCATGTGCAGTATTCGTTGTCGTTGTAATTTCCAGGATAGTTCTTTGAAGTGACAGTGCCGCTTGGTCCGGTTAAAAATGTGCCGCAGTTCGTTACTACGAGTATATTATAAAACTGGTAAATAAATGCCTCTCTGTCTATGTTCAATAAGGGTCAGGTGGCAGATTCAGGGGGGTAGGGGGAGGAATTTGGCGGGGGAAGTTAGAGTCTTTTTGTAAGTTGACTAACGCTTGAAACTCTGTTTCACCATTTCTCGTCCCGTGCAAGAAAACTCAGGGCTAATATAAGTTTGGTTTTATCTCGCACGATCCCAGCCTAGGAGTATCCCAAGATGATAACATATCACACGGAATAATGAATACCAGTGGTCTACTTACATTGGCATGTGGGTTGGGATCCAGACCACTGTCCATTTGCTTGGCAGGTTCTAGTGAGGTCTCCAACAAGTTTGTACTGGGGATCACATTCGAGAATTACAACGCTCTGATAGGTAAATGTCGTTCCGTATCTGACGCCATTATCCGGCGCACCAGGATCACCGCAGCTAACGACTGCAAATCAAACAAATATTAGTTTTTCGATATGCTTGTATCCTCCTGGATACATCTGTAGCTGTAGACATCCTCTACCTAGCTAGAAATATTACTGCTAGTTCTAGTTACGTATCACTCTCTCCTACAGAGCCACCCATAGACTCTTGCAAAAATTGAATATAAATAATATAAAAATATAAAAAAGGGTCAGTTCGTTTACTTGGGCACGTAGGCTGTGTTCCAGTCCATTTGGCATTTGTCTGACACGTCCGGGTTTGGGATCCCACCATAGTGTAACCAACATCACAGCTAAAACTAATGACAGATCCATACTTGTAGTTGGTCGAGTCCTTCTTACCATTAGCAGGAGTACCAGGGTTACCGCAGGATCGCTCTTGGAGTGAAAAGTACAAAAGATTTTAACGTGAAAGATTTGTTGTTAAATTACTGAATTATACTCGCCCAATTAAGTTCACCATATTTCACCATAATTGGCCTTGCTATTACAACAGGAAGATCAAGGTAA